GGCTTGGAGGAAAGTCAGAGGGGAGAGGAGTTTGGGGAGTCCCATCTGCCAAAGGAGGAAGAGAGAGAGAGAGAGAGAGAGAGAGAGAGAGAGAGAGAGAGAGAGAGAGAGAGGCAGAAACCCCAGAGTCTCTTCAACCCTCCTGGCCTGGGAATGGAGAGGTAAGGGGTTGACTACATGGGATAGGTGGGGGAAAGACAGAGTGGGTGGGTGCTGGTATCTGTGCAATAAGGTGGAGGCAGAGGGCAGTTTGTTTGGAAGAGAGAGAGAGAGAGAGAGAGAGAGAGAGAGAGAGAGAGAGAGAGAGAGAGAGGCAGAAACCCCAGAGTCTCTTCAACCCTCCTGGCCTGGGAATGGAGAGGTAAGGGGTTGACTACATGGGATAGGTGGGGGAAAGACAGAGTGGGTGGGTGCTGGTATCTGTGCAATAAGGTGGAGGCAGAGGGCAGTTTGTTTGGGGTGTCCTGACTTATGTTAGACTGAGTTGGAGGTAGAGGGGGAAGCAGACTGCATGGTGTGTGTGTGTGTGTGCGTGTGTGTGTGTGTGTGTGTGTGTGTGTGTGTGTGTGTGCGCGCGCTCGCTCTAGGAGGACATTTGCATGATTGCATTTCAAACAAAGTTTACATAGGTGTTAATGGCTTAAGATAAGAAAGAAAAAGATTCTTTTAACAGAATTTTTTGGAGTGTTGCAGAGATCTAAACAAACCCCTCTGAGCTTAATGATTTTTTAAAATCCTGCATTACAAATTAATACATGGCAAATTGTATTGCATGAAGGCCAGATCTTTGCTATTGGTAGAGTTCTGGTTCTCACGAGTCAGAAGTAGCAAGTTGTAGGTGTGATACTAGTTTTGTAAAATGAAACCTTACTTGTAAACTCTTTGAAACATGCATCTGTCTACAGACCCTGAAACCATGTGTTAATTTGTTCTGGGGCTTCTACTCTCTCTCGAGTGGAAGAAGACTAATTCCCTATCTTTGTACAGCACCTTTGTGATCATTAAGGATACTTTACAGCAACTAGACACAGGTGTCTTGTTTTAATATATTTATTCCACACATATAAACTGCTTAAAATATATGTATATATTCATGTGTGTGTGTGTGTGTGTGTGTGTGTGTGTGTGTATAATGTATGAATTGGTGGTACACATCCATGAACGTGGGCAAGAACCTGTAGAGAATGATTAGTGATAGCACTCTGAATAGCATCTTCTAAACAGACACACATCTCATAAGCATTAGCTGTAGCATCAGCAGTGTGGCAGATATCTGCAGTGTAGCAGTGCCTAGGAACCTTTCTTGTGAACCACCAGAATGTCTGCACAAACACAGAAAAATAATAAACTGATATTTCTAACGGTATGAATGTATTCTAGAGTCTATGTTCTACGGAAGAGGAGAAGTAATATTATAAAAAGCGCCTCTTCAGTACTGCAGAAAGTCCCTCCTGCAAAAAGGGTGCACTCTGTGCACTTAAGAGCTAACTCCACCAGCCATGTTATGTCTCCGCACCTATAATGCTCAACTATTGCAAAGCCACTAAGAAATAGTGAAGACAATATAATCAACATTCTAGTAAGGCTTGCACATAACAGTTGGCAGCCCAATCTGGTAGGAGATTAGTAAACCCTGAATCCTTTTAAAAAACAGTATTTTGATATTTAATATTTTAATTAAGATGGATAATTTTAAAGCATATTTGCATCTATAGATTTTCAGGAGGAGAGAGAGAAAGAAGTTAAATTGTTTACCCATGATTTACACTAAAATTTATCTTTAATGACTAAGACTTTTTAAAGAACTAATGTATTAAAGAATATATTACATGCAGGAATAAAAGAAGGGGCATGGAATAGAGACTTGGCAGTGAAGACTGCATGCCAAGTCCATTTAAACTTAAAATAACTTTAGAAGGCTTGTTTTATAATAAACTTCTTAATTCTTTTATTACCATTAACTTTTAGCTTATACCATTATAATGCACAATTTCCCACAAAATATGCCATGAGAAAACATTTGTGCTCACAAATAAGAACCGACATGCACCTCTTATATTTCTTCATATGTTTTCTTCCTTAACTTTCATTTCTCTCACACATTTCTCTTAATTAGGTTACAGCTGAAGCAACTTTCTACTTGCACTTAGTGGCTTTATGCAAATTCTTTATAAATCCCAGAGATATGAATTTGCAGTACCACCTTAATGCCAGACACAGAAGAGGATGAACTCTCTATCAGACATTGTCAGCCTCTTCTACTCATGACTTCACGTTCATGAGTAAGAAACATTCACAGCTCCGGTATTTTCAAAATCCCTTTACAACTTCCCTCATCTCTCAGTATTCAGAGATGTCTCTCAGCAATAAGTACCACACTGAATAATGACAGAATCTGGCAATACAATGAAAAACCTTAACATCACTTCTTTCACTTTAATCTTCTGCCTGTAATTTTAGTTCCCTACATGAAATGGCAACCCTCAAGAGACTAATTCTGCTGCCATCAATAATTATGGTCAGGGATTCTGAAAACAATCTACACAATCACATTGCACCGTGAAAGCCTTTAAATACGTGACCTTTAAAAACCTATGAAAAGAGATTTCTCTTTCCC